TTTTTTAATAGAGATGTGGTCTCACTACTTTTGGAATCTTCACAGAGAAAAAGAAAAAGAAAAAAGATATGGTCTCACTATGTTGTACAGGATGGTCTCAAACTCCTGGGCTCAAGTGATCCTTCTGCTTTGGACTGTAATTGCTAATTCTATGGGGAAAAAAATCAGCTTATACGAGGAATTCATGTGAGATGACCTCTTACGCCTTCAAATTCATAAGAGATTTAGTAAACGAAGGGTCTCTGCAATTCAAAGTTTAACATATATGTGAAATATAGGACCCAAAGCATCCAATCTCAGTGTGATCAGGGTAAAGTGGTCACCGAGACGTTAAGGGATGAATAAACAGTCCAGTGTTTGCTGTCATCACACTCTTAGTTCCATTTGTTCCAGGCCATTGGATTAATCTAAATATTTATCCAGTACATGTCCTCACCCTGGAGAGGGAGTCACTGAGGCATACAAAGATCTCAGATAAAATGCAGACAACAAAAACTAATCCTCTTACTGGAGATGTATTGTTTTCATGCCTAATTTGCAAAGAGGGCTGTTTATTGTGCCAAGCTCTTCCTTTTCACGCATTCATCCACACCAAGTTACATGTATCTCTTTGTGTCTCAGTTTCCTCAGCTTTAAAATAGACATGATAATCACAGTACCTATGCTCACAGGAATACATGAGAAGACTGAATGAGTTAATAATAGAAAGCATTAATTAAGCATTTGTATATTATTACTTTATTATCAATACTTAGTAAATCAATATTTAGTGAAGTTATAAGATAACGTATCAAAAGTTGGCCAGGCGGTGGCTCACACCTGTAATCCCTGCACTTTGGGAGGCTGAGACAGCAGGACTGCTTAAGGCCAGGAGTTTGAGACCAGCCAGGGCAACACAGTGAGACTCTGTCTATATGAAAACAAACAAGCAAAAAGACAAACCCCCCAAAATTAGCCAGATATGGTAGAACACACCTGTAGTCCTGGCTACTTGGGCAGCTGAAGCAAGAGGATCACTATGGCCCAGGAGTTCAAGATTCCAGTGAGCTATGATCACACAACTGCACTCCAGCCTAGGTGATATAGCAAAACCCTGTCTCTATTTAAAAAAAAAAAAAAATTAAATAAATTAAAAAAAATCAAAAGTAGGTATATTTTCTATATAGAAAAAACCCATTTGAAAATAATAGAAGATTCAACCCACAATGAAGATACAAAAATAAGGTATTTTGACAATGTGCAGTAACTATATAAAGAAAATGAAGATTCTGAAGGTTATAAAGATTTAGATAAACGAAAAGCCATTCCACATTTCTGAATATCAAGTTTCAACATTATAAAGATATTGATTTTTCCTAAATTAACCTATAAACAATGTAAAGATCAAAATAACTTTTTTGAAAACTCAACAAAATGATACTACAATTCATCTAGAAAAATCTGATAGAAAATTTCTGAAAAACAATAGTAATTTAGGTGGATGAAACGGGGACTTCTCCCACTACATATTAAAACATACCATGAATTGAAATAGGGAAAAAGAAATGCAAAACAAACTGTAGGTCATTAAAAGAGAATCCAGAAATAGACCACAATACAAATGGAAATTTAGTCTATGATAATGGTGGTATTTCATATTAGTTGGGGAAAGAGAGATTACCCAATAGGATCTGGTATAACATCTGGCTGTTTAGAAAGGAGTGAAGCTGGACCACTATGAAATACTCTATCTAAAGTCAGGGTTCCATGCAGGGAATAAACTTCTCTAGATATTTCAAGCAGAAAGGGATTTAATACAGAGAATTAGGTCCTTACAAAATCATTGAAAAAGGAGTAGGAGCAGAAAGTGGAGACCCACGATCATTTTACCATCTGTGACCCAAAGGACAGGAAGCTAGTGCTGCTGCCACAGCATTAACTCACACCCATGAAGCAGGTGACGAGACACTAAAATGTGGAGTCTGGTTGCTACAAACAATTCCTGTCTTGTCTACTGGCACAGTAGATAGCCTCTGCCTTCAAATCTTGACCAAGTGCATATCACTGGTAGAATGTACACTGTTCACATCTTACTTATCTTAGAGTCTGAAAAACTTCATGTTTAGCCTTTCATCCACTGTGGTATGGGGTAAGGAGGCATGGGATGCCATGCCAAGTGCTAAGAGACAACATCTAGCACACATTCGTACACTAAAATCAATTCCAGATGGGTGAGTTACCTGTAAAAAAATACAGTGAATCTGTCAAAATGTTCTAGAAGAAACCATGTGTGAATTTATAATCCTGGAGTGTGGAAGGTATTTCTAAGTAGTACATAAAATTCAGAAGCCAAAATGGAGAAGTGATGGATTTATCTATATTAAAATTAAAAATGGATATCCATCAATATTTAAATGCACAAATCTCTTGACCACTGCTACGAATTTACATTATGGAAATGTTTGTGTAAGTCTGCAAAGGTCAGTACCCAAACAATGCAGCATTATTTATAAGAGCAAAACTCTGAATCAATAAAACTATGGTCTGCTGTATGACAGAACACTGTGAGGTCAAGTAAAAGATGAGATCTGAAACAGAGACATTCCCTTTGTTTAACAAAACACACCTGCAGACATATATTATCTAAAATATAGAGATTACTTTTTTTTTTTTTTTGAGACGGAGTTTCGCTCTTGTTACCCAGGCTGGAGTGCAATGGCGCGATCTTGGCTCACCGCAACCTCCGCCCCCTAGGCTCAGGCAATTCTCCTGCCTCAACCTCCTGAGTAGCTGGGATTACAGGCACGTGCCATCATGCCCAGCTAATTTTTTGTATTTTTAGTAGAGACGGGGTTTCACCATGTTGACCAGGATGGTCTCGATCTCTTGACCTCGTGATCCACCCGCCTCAGCCTCCCAAAGTGCTGGGATTACAGGCTTGAGCCACCGCGCCCGGCCAAGATTACATTATTTTTGAAAAAGTCATTAGGAGTTATCTTGGTGGGAATATTATGGTACATTCTTTTTCTTCTTTGTTACTCTAATTTAGAACTTTTAAAATTTCAAACTTTACCCTCTCCCCTACAGAAAAAACAA